AAAAATTGTTCCGAGTTATTGTAAAAAATGTGTTAATACACTAGTGCGTCTGAAATATTTATATATCTGCAAACAGTCTGCCTTGTGAAATTTCGTCAACTTTACGCTAACATTAGCCTAAATTATGCTTGGCAGATTGTAAAAAATTGTTCTTAGTTACACAATTTAATTGCTAACTAACATAAGTACGCTTTATTCTTGTACTGGAGACAACCATCTGCCAATAAGCTCTTCATGGATTGCGCAATCTTGCCTTGTGCTCAAATAAATGGCAGACTGTAAAAAGTTGTTTCAAGAAAGTACTTTCTTTTTGCTAACTAAAGTTGATGTTTAAGTATGCATTAACACGTAACGAAGATTTTTAAGTACATCTATCTACAGCTTGTGACTGTAAATATTTCCCCTATCAATGGCAGACTGTAAAAAATTGTTCCATTTTTTGTGTTACGAGCGCCCGGTCTAACACAGCCAATACTTTTTAATAAAGAATCTTTGGCTGTATTATTTGATGTATAAAAAATATCCCATTCCGTTTAAAAAATAAAGTTGATTTCTTTAAATCTAAGCACCTCCATTTGCAAAGAACCTATGTACACCATGTAATGCGTTCTTCGAACCCAAACTTTTGTCTGAAACACTCCCTCCTGTCTCAGAAAATGTAGAAGTAATTCACATGGTCTGCCTTAGCTAATTTAACCAATATAAATATTTAGCTCTGGTGAAGGTCACTGTCGATGGTGGAACATGCAGATGGGTTGATTACTTAGAAAAACAAGAAATTGATGTGTTTGATGGACATCACGAGGAATGCATACCACATTTAATTAGTGGCGACATGGACAGTTGTCAATCGTCAGTCCTTGATAAATTCAAAGACATGGGTTCTATTATTATAAGGACACCTAATCAAGATCGCACGGATTATACAAAAGCTTTGGTGGAATTGAAATTATACACAAAAAAGAAAAATATAGAAGTAATCTTTTATAATCTATAAGAAGTAATTTCATGAATTAGTTGTGTTTATAATAATTTTAGCCTTATTGTCTAAAAATTTGGTGTATTCCTTGGGTATCCTTAATCATTCATCCCTCACACCTTCACATTTCCTCACTGATCGATCTTACATTCCTTTAAAACTTACCAAACTGTGAACACAACAGACAAAATAACATACTTTATCTTTCTTTGATACACCCTCCTTTTAACTAGTCAAAACCGGATTTTTTTTACCTCTCTTAATCATACAAGTCCTTTACAAACACAAAAAACAGTCTAACTTAAAACAGTATATAATTTATATTGCTTCCCTTACCTCTTTAAGCTCCGTGTCTTTTTTATATTTTTTTTTTTAATTTTCTCAACTCAGGTTTCACCCTATCCTCTTTCGTGCTTATTTGTCTAAAATTCTTTTTCCTTTTCTCTTTAACGTACTATAAACAATATTTTGATTGCTATTCTTTTTCTGTCTTTGTTTACTCTTTTGACTTTCATTCTCTATAAAAAATTGTTTTCCTTTGCTCATATCTCACTCTCTCTCAACTCCTGCCATCTAATTCTTTTTCCCTTTATTCACAGTTTCTTACAGTTTGTAGTCCAATTCTTTTCACGAATTTCTTATCTTCTTTGAAACTCTTTTATCTTTCTTATGCCATATGAAAGAGCTGTATTTAATGGTAATGTTGATGTTGACAGTTAAGTAAAATATACGTATTTGTGGAATCTTCTGGAAGGTTTGATCACATCATGGGAAATGTTAATACTCTTTTCAAGAGTGAAGATCTTATTGGTGAAATACAGGTAATTACCTCTTATCTGCAACTTTAATTTCCCCCAATGCCTGTTTATTATAAGATTCTTTAACGCAGAACAGTCCGATTCGTTAGAACATACGAAATAAAATAGTGATACATGTTTTGTGCCAGAACAAAATATTCTTAACTGCTTTGTTCTCTTGGACGTGTTATCCCGCGACGACGATACTGCTTATCTTGGGTCACAGATGTATTATCCTCGCGACGACGATACTATTTGTACGTCAGTGACCTTATACAAAGAGTATCGTCGTCGCAGGATAATATGTCTGTGACCCGATACAAGCAATATCGTCGTCGCGAGATAACACGTCCAAGAGAACGAAACGATTGAACCTGAATGTTTCTCCTTTCTTTAGAACTCTTTATTTACACTTACTTTTAGTTTTAATAATTCCTCTTGTAACTTTCTGCACACTGATTTCTCGGGCCATTCCCATTTTTAGTGCCCATGTATACGTAATACTAAGTAATCTGCCTTTAATCGTTTGTAACTCATAGCGACGTAAGCAAATGTTGAGAGAATTTGCATATTGCATAGTTAAGTTATTAACTTATAACGTAAGAGCTGCAGGATTTGTTTTCAATCTGTTGAACAAAACTCTGCTCCCAATATGAATCAGTGCATTCAGCAGATGATTATAGATTTTGAAGCAAATTGTGTTACTAAATTACGTATATTATACTTACAAGACGATTGCAGTTTATTCCTTGTTTTTATATACTCAATTTTACTTAGGAGATTCTATGTACATGTTAATTAGGTGATACAAGTGTCAAGTACTTCATTAACGTGGATCCTGAGGCCAGGCCTACATAGCATAATCATTCCCAAAGTTTTAGTACAAAACAGTAGTTGGTGCGGACTGCTACCGATTGGCACACCCGTTAATTGTATAGAAACAACCGGTTTAAAATGGAACCTGAGTACGTATCATTTAATTTTCAGTAATGCAGCAAACATTTATACCAACAATGAATAGTATTATGAAACAGATGTTTTTTCTTTCAGATAATTCCAGTTTACAATTTGGTGGTTTGGTGAGTACTTCCAATACGTACGACGATTGTTCGGAAGTTACTGTAAATACAGATACACCAGTGATATGGACTATGGGTATAAAACCGCTTACAGAAAATATAAATAATAGTGAAGTGTCAAACAGTGATTCGTAGGATTTTTTATTAAGACTATCCATGGGAATTTTCTTTATTTTTGTAATAAATATTCGGGGCTTTATTTAAATGACAAACATTTCGTTTAACTTTGTTAGAAGTTACATTTTACTTTTTTTATTAGATTTGAATGTGAAAAATATGTTAAAGAAATATTTAGGAGGGATGGCGAACTTTTTTGAGAAATGGGTGAAATTAGTTAAAGAGAGAGGTTCAATTTTAATAATACAGTAAAGTCGAGTTAAATGCAAATCTTTCAGGTCCGAATTTTCGTACTTAAATGGCTATCATACTATGACGACTAAAAAAGTTTCTCTGAAAGAGTACTGCATGTAATGGCATAAACCTTTTCTTCACTGAAATTGTATTCTACGAAAATAGAAAAGGGTTTTCTATGTTATACAAATACACATCTATTTATTTATACAGGAATGAGTCCAGAAAAAGATTAATCTTGCTGGCATAAGTGATTGAAGCCCATCAAGTGATCTGAATCAACAAATTCAAAGAGATTCTTAATCTGTCTATCAGTATTGTCCATACCTATCTCAACCACGGTGGAATTTTGAATTTTAATTTTTTCATACATGGTGCAAAAAAATATAATTCTTGAACGCGTTTGCAAAAAGCACTACCATTTTGTTAATTCATAATATAAATTAATAATTGAGAAATGAAGGAGAGCGACATTTATACAGATTAAGAATCTACTTGAATTTTTTTTTTTCAAATCACCAGGCTCCAATCACCAACGCCAGAAAGATTAATATTGTTTTATAGAATTACGCGTGTAGAAATAAATAAATAGATACATATTTCTATATAATATAAAAAAAGTTTTTTACATTCTCCTAGAGTAGACCTAACAGCAAGTCTGTGTCGTTACTCTTTGAAAGAAAATACGTCAAAAATGTTTAACTTTTTCAGTTGTCAACGAAAAGGAAACATGATTCTTATCTTTTCTTTACTGTACCAAACGTAGACGAGAACAGCAAATGAAAAGAGAGAGAAAGAACACTAATTAATTTAAGAAGAGAACCTTTTTATTGTTCATTACTTTGGAATAAAAGTTTCACTGTCATATTTATGAGAATTCCTAATTAAAATGAGACCAAACGTA